CTGAGAGTATTGATTTGGGGTTTTTAAAATAATGGTCCCAGAGTTCTTCACCTCCTTACTTCATTAGATTATAGGATTAGGGGAATCTCAAGCATTTGCTTTAAAACACCACAAAGAAGGTGTCACCTACCAACATGTACATTTCAATCCTAATCCTCACAGTCCATAAGTTCTAGTCCTACAACAAAGAGTATAGGTTTTGATATTTACAACACTATTTTCATTGGTCATGACACTGTAAACGACTACAAACAGGAAAATTTTTGTAGTTAACCCTCAAACCAAAATTATATATAGATCTTGATCTTCAACTTCTGAACATAAACACCAAAGTCTAAAATCCAAAAACCCCCACAAAATTCTAAGCAAAACACTACAAAGAGAAAAAAGTAATTTTTCCACCTGACAGTAAAAGGGAAATTTTTAACAAGGAAAAAAGTGGGCTGGCCAAGTGGCTCAGTTGGTTAAGAGCGTGAGCTATGAGCAACAGGGCCGCCGGTTCAATTCCCACATGGGCCAGTAAGCTGCACATGAGCTGAGCTGCCAACAGGTGGCAGGATGGCTCAGCTGGTAAGAGCACGTGCTCCTAACAACAAGGTTGCTGGTTCGACTCCCTCATGGGATGGTGGCTATGCCTACCTGCAGCTAAGATTGAACACAGCACCTTGAGCTAAGCGGCCCCGAGCTGCCAAGAGGCAGCCGGATGGTGACCAGACTTGCAGCTGAGCTAGCTGCAACCTCCACAACTAAGACTGAAGGACAACAACTTAGCTATTCCTCTTCCCCAACTCCCCAATAAAATCTTTAAAACATAAATTAAAAAAAGGAAGAAAGTTGAGGTAAAATAAATAATCAGAACATATATGACTAGAAACTGAAACAAACATATTAAAAATAAGAAACAAAAGAGTATCTAACGGCAAAACCTATAAAAGCCATTACCGATCAACTCAATGAGGTCAAGTATATGGGTAATACATTTAGGTTCAGGATCCAGTATCAATAGCTTCTTATCCACTGAATTTTTCTGGTAATATAACTCAAAACTAAAGTAAAGTACTATATTTTAAGATGTCATGGGCTGGCCAAGTGGCGCATTCATTAGGAGTTGACTTCAGATGCCAGCTCTGAGCAGCAGGGTCCCGGTTCGGATCCCACATGAGGGCCAGTGACGCTGCGCCCTCTACAGCTAAGATGGTGAACAGCTCCACCTGGAGCTGGGCTGCCGTGAGTCGCCGGCGACAGCGTAGGCTGCAGTGGGGCTGTCCAGCAGCTGGTGTGTGCATTCGTGAGCTGCCATGAGCCACCGTGAGCCACAGTGAGTGGCCATCCAATGGCCGGGAAGCGACTGCCTCAGCCGGGAAGAGTGCAATGATAATACCAACATGGGCCAGTGAAGCAACGTCCTCCACAACTAGACTGAAGAACAAAATGACAGCAACTTGTAGTTCCCCTTCCCCGATTCCCCAACGCTGTTTCCCTCCCACAATTCCCCAATAAAATCTTAAAAAAAAAAAGTCATTATCCCAAAAAGTTAAGAAATAGATCAAAATCAGTAAATTCTTAGAGTTTAATTTTATAGATATTCGTGGAAACATTTTCAAAGCAGTTATAAAGTTTTATGTACTACTGATATTTTCCTAATCCCAGGCATTAAATCTAGAGGTGTAATTTAAAACAAATGTTGTCTGCATTACATGCTTAAATACAAATTCTCAACAGTGGATTTGCATTTAAGATGCTAGAGAGACATGTGCTGCTCTTTCCCCTTATAAATGTAAAAAGTGACATTCTGGTACAAGAAGTTTCTAACCCAGAATCCAGGACAAAAGTGTAATTCTGAAATTGAGCTTTTTGTTAACTACAAAGAAGTTATGCAAAATACTAAACAGTATACTTGCTATCAGGGTCATTTCTGGCAACATAACAATTTTCATGAATTTAGGTGAAATGTCTGGAACGTAGAGCAGGAAAAAAAACTGAGGAATAGGTATTAAGAGATTAACTTTTTAAAGTGATGTCTACCAACCTTTCCCAAAACATGGCCCAAATTTTCAGTTTTATCTCCAATCTTAGCCACAAAAAAATCTTCCTGATTGCTGACCATACCCAATATGAAATCATGAAATCTGCCCACTTTTCTTATGTTCACTTCAATAGATTTTTAGATAAAATATTTGTAATTTTTCCTTTGCGTCATGTCATTGATCATCTTATATGAAAACGATAGTGCTCTTTGACAAGACTTGACAAGATATAGCTTGAAATAATACTCATATATTATTCTTAAAGAAATTTTAAAGTAGATGTATTTCTAATGAGATGCTGAAGATGTATTTCTGAAGAGATCTTAAATTCTCAGGCTATTTTTCAAAATCTTTCTATTTTGAAAAAGATTATACAATAGAAACACTAATCAAAAGAAAGCAGTTGTATGATAGAAATGTGATTAAAGATAAGGGATATTTCATAAAGTTAATTCAACAAGAAAACATAAAAATTATGTGCCTCTAATAACAGCCTCCTACTATATAATGCAAAAATTGAAAAAAAATTAAAAGAGAAAAAGGCAATTCCACAGTAAATAGTTAGAAATAATTTATTGATAAAAGTATCTTGCAGAGAGGGGAAAAAATATGTAGCAAGGATATAGATTTAAACAACACAATAAGAAACCTTGATGTTATTGTCCTATAATACACTGAACAACTAAAAATATATATCCTCTTCTAGTGTACATGGGACATTTTTCAAGATTAACCATATGGTGGACCATAAAACAAGCCTAAACAAATCTTAAAGGACATAAGTCATGCAGAATGCTCTCTGACCACAGTGGGTTAAACTAGAAATATATAACAAAAAGATAACTGGGAAATCTCCAAATGTTTGAGTATTAAGCAATATACTTCTGTATAAGCGATGGGTTAAAAAAAATACATCATAATGAAAATCAGAAAATATTTAAAACTGAATGATAAAGACAATATAACATATAAAAGTCTGTGAGATGCAGCTATAGCAGTACATAAAGGGAAATATACAGCCTTGACTGCAGACATAGAAAAAGGAAAAACTAAAAATCATCAAAGCATCCATCTTAAGAAGCTAGAAGAAAAAAATAATAAAGAGGGTCTAAGACTTTTGGAGGTGATGGTTTCACGGGTGTATATTTATGTCCAAACCCATCAAGTTGCATATATTAAATATGTACAGCTTTTTGTATGTCTTATACATCAATAAACTGGTTTTTAAAAATTGGGGGGAGGGGTGTGAAATCCACAAAAAATGCAAAGAAAACAAAAGGAAGGAAATAGTAAAGATGAGGAATACACCTGAAAAAACATAGTGGAGAGAGGATCAACAAAGCCAAAAGTTATTTTTTCAAAAGACTGATAAAAATTATTAACAGTACTGTGAGATTAAGAGAGAACCGATAACCAATTTCTGAACTGAAAAAAAAGAACACCACTATAGACCCTATAGACATTAAAAAGATAGGATGTTATTATGCCAATAAAATTTAAAACTGAAATGAAATGGGTAGATTCCTAGAAAAATATAACTTATTAAAACTGATACAAGAAAACAGAAAATATGAATAGCCCACTACCAAAGAAATGAAGTCTATAATTAATAACTTCTCCACAATGAAAACACCAGGACCAGATGGCTTCAGTACACACTTAAGGACTAAGTAACACCAAGCCACGGAAACTCTTGCAAACAAGAGGAGAAATGAGAACTTGACACCAAGGTCTGACATGGACATTGAAAACTCTAAGCCAATATCACTCATGGAAGTAGATGCAAAAATCCTAAACAAAATATTAATAAACTGGAAAAAACAATACTTAAGAACAAAAATACAAATCATGACCAAGTTGTACTTACTCCAGAAATGAGATTCGGTCAACATTTAAAAAAAAATCAATGTAGGAGCCGCTTCCAGTCAAGATAGAGTAGAGGGACTGGATTTACTCTCTCCCATGAAACAACCACAAACAAAAAAGAGAAAACTTAATAGAAAATGAACAACAGGAATTCACAGGCACTTCAGAAAAGAAGATATCCAAATGGTCTATATACACACATACATATATGCATGCATACACACACACACAAAAAGGTGATCAACATCCTTAGTCACCAGGGAACTACAAGCTCAAACCCAAATAAGATGTACCTACATTCCTACCAGAAAAGCTCAAATAAAGGTTGGGGGGAGGGAGGGGGCGCAGATTACATGATGTTCTTACAATACACAGAAAAAAAGTCTCTAATGATTTTCATCAAGGTATCAACTATAATTCTTGACCTATAATGGAATTACCAGTGTTTCTTTTTTCTTATTTTGCTCATCTAAACTTTCTAGTTTTTTGAAAAATACATAAAGCTCCTAAAATAAAAATTCTTTTTCATTTAAAAAATGACAAACGGAAAGACATAATCATATTATAGGTGTGATATAACTTACTGAGCATAATTTTTAAAAGCTTAAAATATGAATTACTGAACTTACATTTTTATATCAAATATATCTTATAAAAAATGTTCTGTGACAATGGTTTTCTATTATACTATGGTTTGAAATGTTATAAAAAAACTACATGAGCACATGCAAACATAAAATTAATCTGTTAGCACATATAGAATTGGAATGGTCAAATCATTCAACACTGAGTCATTAGTATGTAAGTACTTAAAATAAAAAATATCTGCCACTATGGTCTGGTGATAAAATATACAATTAAGTCTAAAAGACAAAAACAGCTACATGAACTTTCAAAAGCATGATTATGATGAGTTTCAAGCACTAACTGCAAGAACATTTGTCAAACTCCAAATGTTAGGTGACAATTTAGCAATCAGGGATGGCACTTATGTAAGCAAGCAGCATGAATGAACATATACTTTAAGTTTTAGGTGACATTAAGCTTTTACTACAAAAGGGAAGGATTCCCCCCATTACAGAGGCATTGATACGCTGCCCTCTGTACCTGGCACATCCTGGGGGAGCTCAGATGCCACCTTCTTCTCTGCCATGTTGCTGCTATCATGGGTTTCTGAGAGACACCCCACAGGACTCCTCCCTTCAGAGGGACTAGTCTCTTCTGAAGAAGCATTTGTTGTGTTGTCGCCAAGATTTGCTGATACAGAGTTACCTTTATCCCCAACTTCTGTTGGCTCTACAGTAAAATGCACAACAAAACTTTAAAGATATCCTTTAGAATTGCTTTTGGACATATGGCCATATTCAATCAACTACTAAAAATGAAAGATCACCCCAAAAAATCCCGCTTTTATTTGATGGCCATCTTGAAGCAACTAGATTCTGAGATATTTCTGCAGCAGGTAATCAAAAGAGTATTTCAGGATATTTAACATATTAAGAATGTTTAAGTAATTAATACAAAAATGAACACATTTTATCATATACAAAAGTGGATAGTCTGGTATAAAAATAATGATTTTTCACCAACAAATCTTATAGGGAAATGGTACCTTATTAGGAAGTATAAATAGAGATATGGGTATAACACTATGGTAAACCCATCAATATATAAAACTCATTACAATAACTATGCATGTTACCAGGGGGAGGATATGGTATCCTCATCTCTTTACAAATGTAAAATTACTGAAATAGTTGCTTGTAACAAAAAAGATTCATTTCCATTTGCAAGTAAAGTTGGAGATCTCATAAATAACCCTGGTGACATTTCTTTTTAACCAAGTAATTTTTTTACCCTCAGATTTTCCTTGCTCAGGATCATCGTCTGGTGTTTTGTCGTCATTTTCTTTTTCAAGGGACTGGTCTTCAAACTCCTCTCTGCTTTTCTCAGCATCTTTGGAGTTATTCTCAGTCTCGCTGTTGTCCTTTTCTATTTCTTCTGGGCTTTTAACAATATCAATCTCTCCCTTTTTGGCTCTTATGGATTCCAAAATTTCTTCTATAATAAAAACAAATAAAAAATTTTCTTTCCATATGTACCAATATAAAAGTACTACAAGTGCCACTTAAGAGTTTCAATTCAAATTATTCAAGTTAAATATGTAAAAGCATTAGAACTATAAAATAAGGATCAAGATTATCAATAAAATTTTGATGTTTAGAGAACTCAACCAATTTGGTTATCTTCACTTCTAGAAAACACATGCAAATTATAGGCTCTGCTTCTTAAAAAAAAAAAGAAGAAAAAGAAAAATTAGTCTACCTTTTGTAGTTGAGACTTGATTATAGATTACTGTCACATGAGAAAAACTGTAAGCTGACATAGGCCCATGGTATGCACAACATGGTACACTGATCAAAGCCTAGAGGGGGCCGACTGAATGGATCAGTTGGTTAAGAGTTGGCTTAAGAGCGTGGGCTCTGAGCAACGGGGCTGCCGGTTCGATTCCCATATGGGCCAGTGATGCTGTGCCAGAGCTGAGCTGTCGCTGAGCTGCCAACAGGTGGCAGGATGGCTCAGCTGGGGTAACAGCAAGGTTGCCTGTTCTATGGTGGGCTATGCCCACCTTCAACTAAGACTGAACTCAGCACCTTGAG